AAGAAAATCTATTCAAGCAACACAATGACAACCTGATAGCAAACAGAAATATCATTAATTAAAGAGCTGTCAACTCCTTCACGATGAAGTGCTTCACTTTGTGTTGTTTCAAGCAGCTTTTCATACTTTTGGCCACAGGATGGAGCCAAACAGAACTGTGTTGGAAAGCTTCGAGTAATGAACCCTTTTTCAAAGCAAGCTTCAGTGCTTCAGAAAAGCCTCATTTGCCCATCACTAGTTTTTATTTATTAACACTTTTAAAAACATTTAGACTGTAAATCTGAGGCGAGTGGCGCTTTTATTTTATTTTTTTTAACAGATACATTAAGACTCTGGAGGAGGATCGGTTCTACAAACGGACACGAAGCCTTTCTGTAAAGGAAATCAAAACGAGAACACCAGGGGAAGGAGAAAGGTAAGCTGTTGGCAGCGTTATGTTGTGGGCTGAAATGATTCCTCGGTTCATTTAATGATTAAAAATCCTCCAGGCAAATTATCTGCCTCGAAGCTTCGTAAAAAAAAAAGTCCTGTTAAAATCAGCGCACTTTTGCCGGCCGGAATGTTATTTGAGTTACATGATGCTACGACGTTAGCTTTTCCGCTAACGGTCACACTGTCGACGCGCGTGTGTATGCTAAAGGCTATTTTTAGCTATGGGAGGAGAGGAAGAGTCCCGAAACGAGGCGTTCAGAAAAGGACAGAAATTGTGAAAAGTGTGGGACGTTTTAAAACTAAACAGAAAAGACGACGAGGCGCAATTTGGCGCACGTCCTTGACGTTTCTGAACCGGAACAAAAACAGCTGATGCATGCACCGGTGTTGTGCGAATTTCAGTTCCCCTGTGAAAATCTGTTCCCCGCTTGTCCAGGCGTGACGTCAGACCATATGAGGGAGGGGCTTCCAACACAAGGGGAACAGATTTTCACAGGGCAACTGAATTTCGTACAACACCGGTACAGGTACCGTTTAACGGTCCCTTTCTGACTGCCTGGCAGAGCATTATTTAACAGTGAACAAACCTTAGTGTGCAGCAACAGATTCATGAGCTGAAACATTTATCTGTTGATGCTTCTATCTTCACTTAAATGAGACACCTGGAGTGAATATTTAAAGTTTAAATTTATTTATAGAAAATAGTAGGATTTGTTTACTTTTTGCTGCTGCTTTTTATGACGTTAAGCCTGTCATTAGCCTTCCTTTATTACTGCTGTCATATATAGTTAACCAGTCAAGACTAAACATTTTATTGCCTAAATTGGGAACTTAAAAAAAAAACTAATAAAAATGTGAATTTACGTTTACTATTAACAATAACATTTGAACTCTACAAAACTCAATGTGCAACACCCAGATTTTTATATTACCCATTTTACTTACTAAATTTCTAACATAAAAGATCACGTTCGGTTTTCCATTCCTTTAATTAGTTTAAACATTTAATGTGTTTCATTGTAAATTAAACATCAATTTATGATTTTTGCAATTATTGTATTTGCTTACTCAACATCCCAACTTATTAAGACCTGAGGTGATCTGTAGCAGGTAGACTGACAGCATGTCTCTAATCTCTTTTTTACACAGAAACCCCTCCTTTTCCAACAATGTTAAAGAACGAGATCAGTGTGCACTTGGAGACCTTCTTCTGTTCGGTGTGTCTGCGCCTCCTGAAGGATCCAGTGACTATTCCCTGCGGACACAGCTACTGTGAGAGATGTATTAATGGGGCCTGGGATAGAGAAAATCAAAGGAATATCTACAGCTGTCCTCAGTGCAGAAAGACATTCAAACCAAGACCAGTTCTGAAGAAAAACACCATATTAGCAGAGTTGGTGGAGGAGCTGGGGAAGACTGACCTCCAAGCTGTTCCAGCTGGACCTGAAGATGTGTCCTGTGACGTCTGCTCTGACAGGAAACTGAAAGCTGTCAAGTCCTGTCTGAACTGTTTGGCCTCTTATTGTGAAAAACACCTCCAACCTCACCGTAAAGCTCCACCATTACAGAAACACCAGATGGTGGAGCCCAAGAACCTCCAGGAGAACATCTGTCCTYGTCATGATGAGGCGATGAAGCTCTTCTGTCGTACCGATCAGCASTGTATCTGTTATCTCTGCACCATGGACCAACATAAAGAACATGAAATTGTCTCAGCTGCAGCTGAAAGTGCTGAGAAGCAGAAGGAGCTGGAGGAGCCCCAACAACAAATCCAGCAGAGAATTCAGGAGCGAGAGAAAGACGTGAAGCTGCTCCAACAGGGGGTGGAGGCCATCAATAGCTCTGCTGATGAAATAGAGGAGGACAGTGAGAAGGTCTTCACTCAGCTGACCCGGCTCTTCCAGGAAAGAAGCTCTGATCTGAAGCTGCAGCTCAGATCCCGGCAGGAAACTGAAGTGAGTCACGTCAAAGAGCTTCAGGAGAAGCTGGAGCAGGAGCTGACTGACCTGAAGAGGAAAGATGCTAAGCTGGAGCAGCTGTCACACACACAGGATCACATCCAGCTTCTCCACAACTACCCCTCAGTGTCAGCACTCAGTGAGTCTCCACACTCATCCACCATCAAGACTCTTCCTCGCACATACTTTGAGAACGTGACGGCAGCTGTGGACCAGCTCGGAGACAAGATGCAGGACGTCCTGAGGGACACCTGGACAAACTTCTCACGGAGAGTCTCAGAAGTCGACGTTTTTCTGCCAGAACCAAAGAGCAGAGATGAGTTCCTACGATATTCACAAGACATCACTCTGGATCCAAACACAGCCATATGGCTGTTATTATCTGATGAGGACAGAAAAGCTACATCAATGAAACAATACCAGTCTTCTCCTGATGATCCAGACAGGTTCAGATTTTATAAACAGGTTCTGAGCAGAGAGCGTCTGAGTGGACGTTGTTACTGGGAGGTGGAGTGGGGCGTGAGTATGGTTTGTGTTGCTGTTTCCTACAAGAATATCAGCAGCCCAAGAGGTTCAGCTGATGCTGAATTTGGATCCAATGATCAATCCTGGGCCTTATGTTGTAAAACAAACGGCTACGCATTTTGGCACAATAAACGCCGTACTCCAGTCTCAGGTCCCACTTCCTGCAGGATCGGCATGTACCTGGACCACAGAGCAGGTGTTCTGACGTTCTACAGCGTCTCTGACACCATGACCCTCCTCCACAGAGTCCAGACCACGTTCACTCAGCCGCTCCACGCTGGTCTCCTGTTCCTCGACGACGGAGACTCAGCTGAGTTCATTAAGCTGAAGTAGACGTGTCTTTAAGCTGTTTTAAAACAAGTTGTTGATCGTTTGTTGTTGGATTTCTTCTGTTTTAGCTGTAGAGTCAAGAAATGTGTTCAGGTTTTTACCAAATGGGTATTTTTACATTGTTGTTCAGTTTGTTTGATCAAACTCACTCAGTTTGATCATTTTTAATGAAAAATGGCAGCTTTGACCTTTTTAAAACATTTTTATTCCACATGTGCAGTATTACTAAGGTATAACACTAAATGAAAAGATTCACACACTGGTTTTTCTGTCCTTGTGGAGATTTGCTGTTCATTCTCCAGTCTTGTCTACAACCTTTCTCTTTTAACTCCCCCACCCCAAAAATGGTATCTGTACCCATGTGGACCAGGATTTGGTCCCCACACAGCTGTCTCAGTTCATAGGTTGCAGCTGACTTGAGGTGCCTTTGTTGACAAAATTGTTTGAGTTTACTATTTTATGAATAAACATTTGAAAATCTAACGTGTGAAGTTTTGTATCTTTTATTTTGTAAATGTCGATCTTTTGAAATTTCTTTTACAATAAAATGTAGTTTAACACAAATTCCTGGGTATTTGTACCCATTTTTCAAATATTCAAATGCAATGAATGATGACTGATCATGTAATGTCTGTTCAACAGTGCAAATGCATCACATTTGTAATATTTTAAAACTATTTAATTTTTTTATTTTCAAACTTTATTCATTTCTTATAAAAACAAACGATTCTATGTACAATAAAAAGAAAATACACATAAAATGAATGGCAGCAGAGTAGAAAAAAATATATCTGCCCCTTTTTCCTCAAGTATAGATTCAAACCATTATCTGTTTACAAAACAAAATCATCAAATCTTTCTAGAACAACAAATTATATGGATACAGATTATACTGCTTCATAATTTTCTAACAATCTAGCCTGTCTGGAGCTGTTGAGAACAACAACAATCTATGAAGAGCAATTTTAAAATGTCACCAACTCATTTTCATTATTTAACCCAATTCCTGGGTCTGAATCATTTAATATTTTAATAATTTTTGTGCAATTGCAGGAGACCCATTCTCAGAAATCAGAGGCTTTGTTTTGCAGTTTTCTGATACTCTGCTGTTAGTTATACTGAGTTTTATGGCTTCACTCTGCAGCGACGACGAGAAAACGAAACAGCAAAATTTATTTTTTAGCCATTGCTTTGCTAAGTATAACTTCTACTGTTTTGATGGCATTAGCCTTTAGTTACAGTTGTGCTAATTATAATTCTAGCTACTGTTTAGGGGAAGTCAGTTTGCTTCTATGCTGCTTATTCTAACAATTCTTTAACCAAAGCCATCCAGGACTCAGCATTCACACATTTCTGCAGAAAATACAACTTCTCTAGTATTTAATGCTGTTCTTCTTATTTTGCTTAGCAAATAGACAATATTCTTCCCTGAAGATATCAGTACCAACCAACTGCACCACAATATATGTATTTTTTTTCTTATTATTCAGCTGCATGTGGCTAACACTGCACTGCTGGGGTAGTCTGCTGTTAATATGGAAGCGCTGCAGCTTAATTACTGTCAGTATGTGGTGCAGCTCTGACAGGGTGGGAGTGATGCCTTTAAAAGCCCAAAACAACGACTGCTCAATTTATCTGTTCCAAATGTTTCTACGTGCGCTAAAAATTTGATTCAGAATGAAAAATATATATAAATTTATCAATGATAACTGGAAGTACAAGAAGTGCTAACGTTTTATAAAGTTTTAAGTTTAAAGTTTGCATTAAAATAGTTAAGCTACAGTTATTCAAGGCCGATATAAACATTCATACAACTTATTTGCACTGAAAAGTACAGAATTATCCAATTTAAAAGAATTAAATATCAGTTTATTTTACTCTGAACGGATCTCACCACAATGATCACAAGCAGGATTGCAAAACACTAAACTCTCTGCACACCTTCGGTTTAGAGGCTTTACATTCAGTCGAGAGATGGAGTCATTTTTCCATCCTCTTCTGTTGCTGCAGCAACCACGCTACATGAGACCTGATTAATGAGGGCAAAGGTACAGAACTGACAGTGACTACGAGACAGTGGTGTACTAAAGTTGAAAGATTTCTTAGCAACAAATGCAGAGACTGGAACAAGTTTTACCCTTGTGGGGGAAAATAGATGATGTGTGGAATCAGAATGCTAACAATGTAAAGAAAATAAACTGAGCTGCAGGAGATTTGAATAACAAAAAACATTTTTTTATGTATTTCTCTTTTCTTTGAGGATTAGGAGGCAATGTATCACCTTGCCAAGATCGTTTTATATTAAAGTGCCTGCGACATCAAACTTTTGCAAAAAATATGAATGTATTTTTGGAAAGATAACACTGATAATATATTGTAAAAAAAGATTTCACGCCACCGAAATGAACAGTTGCTGAGATATTTGCATGTGAAGTAACAGGAAGTGATGTCAAAGAGGAATGTCTGAATGTGAACAGACCGTTGCTAAAATGGCTAACAGCACAGACTGTAGAGAAGAATCTGATGTTTCTTTAGATTATTTTGAGTCACTATCAGAGAGAGATGAGAAAGAGTCAGAATTCAAACAATATTCTTTAAATAAACAAAAAAACCTGGGAGGTTTCTTTCTCAAAGAGTTCCCCTTTGATGTCACTTCCTGTTTCACTTTAGCTGAGCCAAGTTCAAAAGAAAATATGCCAGTTATGTGACAAATTGGGTAAAATCATGTGTATTATGCCAAGTTTCTTGAATATACATTTTCTTTGACTTTTTGTATTTCATGGATGTGCATGTCACAGGCACTTTAAGTTAGAGCTATTTTAGTCAAATCATGAAAATAGCTTTACTAGTTCTGTGATATACACTGCTTGGCCAAAAAAAGGTCACTCTCTCTACTCTTTGGTTGGACCACCTTCAGCTTTAATTACAGCACACATTTATTGTGGCATCATTTCCACAAGCTTCTGCAATGTCACATTTATTTTGGTTCAGTTGCATTTTTTTCTTCTTCTGATGATCCGAGTAAATCTGGACTTAATAGACCAGTTCTACCTTTATGCTCCCTAGCAAACTGAAGCCCCTTTTTTTTCTGATTAGCCTAACTGATGAGAGGTTTTCTTATGGCTGCAGTGATGTTTAGTCCCAACCTCTTCATCTCTCTTCACATAATTGCGCATGTGGAAGTGTTCTTTCACATGAGTTTTACTGTTGCCTTACAATTTGATTTCACCAAACTGTTAAGTAGGGGCCATTGAAAAGGTTTCTCTGCTGTCTTCCACACAGTTCTTAACCTGGTTTTAGTAGTTTCAGCAATCTCYTCAAATTTCTTTTTCTCATTGATGCCAATAATTTGACTTTTCTGAAACAGATCAGCATCTTCTCCACGACCACAGGACGTGAAGTTGTTTAACAAAAAAGCTGCTCACTGCGTCAGTTAAATAACTTGTCAGATGAAACAAAATCACCCTTGCCGTAATTGTCCAGTGGGAGACTTATATTTGCTTAGTTAAATCCAGGTGATGATGTCTTTTTTTGGCTGGGCAGAGTAAAATCTTTTAATGCTTTATGTATTTAGTATGACTGTCAGCAATTATCACAACTAATTTTAGCTCAAAATCTGTAAATGTTTATGTTTTCAGTGTTCAGTTAGCTGTGGTGGCCATTAAGGTGTATTCACGCCAGGGAAGTGCTTTGATCCACTTGTTTGGTCCTGACTAAATAGCGGGCTGCCCCCCCACCCCATTTGGTGCCGTTTGCATTCACATTGTGCTTTTTTGCAAGTGGACTACTGTACTGTGTATAATTTATAAACAAAGCCACACAGGTGACGGTCACTGCTCCCATTGGTCAGGAATGATGCAAGACAGAGCACAGACCCAAAAAGAAAGATGGTGCCCTTATTGAAACTTCAGTGCCATTTAAAATTAGAAGAGCAGCTCATTCAAATGCGGTTTTGTGATGATATACTTCTAATTTTTTGGGACGGAGTTGGATAAATTTGAAAATGAGGTTTTAACAAATCCGTAAGATTGCTCTATACATGTGTATGCCTGCAAAATGACATAAAATCCTTAGAAATTATGGACAATCTGTACGACTTGGCATGTGCATAAAGGGTCCGGACCAATGAGGGAAACAAACTCTGAATACACCCCTAATCTGATGCAGAGGTCCATCCAATGATGCTCTCTGGAAACTGTGGTTCATGAGATATTTTGCTAACGGTACAGTCAATTGAACACACAGGACAAAAATATAATCATTCAGTCTTTATCTTCAGCGTCATGCAACAATTAAAAAAATTGGTTTTTTTTATTCGTCAAAACAAATGTGATAAGAATATAGGTTGCAGCAGATTGTTCTTCTGTTTGGAGAAATAAAATTGGAAACACTGAGGAAAGTACAGAAGAAAAGGGATGATGCATGAGCCTGTAGCTGCCTTCCTCAACGTTTCCTGCTGGTGAGAGGGTGAGCGCACTGATTGCCACCAGAGGGTAGCGGGGCTTTAAATCGACACCGGCGTGAAATGGGAATGCACATTTTCGGACAAGAGGTGCATTGTCATTTTAAAAACAGTGCATGCATCACCTGAGAGTATAATCTATCCAAGAAGCCTTGCAGGAGAGGAAGGTATATAAAAAAACAAGGCCTGAGAGAGACGGAAGTGGAAGGAGAGTGAACGAGACGTGCTGGTAAACAAGATGTCCCAGGGAGCAGAGGTGCTAGTTTTTTCCACTCTAAAGTCTTACATCAGCTTTCCTCGAACCGCTGCTGGTTTCCAGGTTGCTGCCAGTCCCCCCCCAAAAGACCGATTCGGTTTCTAAGGTCTCTGATTGCCTGAGTAAAATGCTGCGTGATTACTGCACAGACAGATCACAGCAAACAGCAAAGGTGGGAAGACATTACCAATCTTTAACTCTCAACAGCAAAATACTCTGAGAAGGATCTTGATTGCCTCATCAGCTTTTACAGTTCTGAGATGCTTGATTTAACCAGTCTGAGTCTATAGGTGTCTTATTATCACCCTGCACTGAACGTGAAGGTGAAAATATTTTTGCCCGTGTCCGTTTGCCATTTTATTAGAATATCCTTTGAACCAGAGGGCATTTATTAATAAAACGTACAGTAAGATGTACATTTTATCAAATAACTTTTGAAGTCAACCCAATTCAAAATGGCCGCCACATCTAAGCAACATGAGACAACACAAAAATATATATCTCAGTCAATTTTATAGATTGTGAGCTAAAATGTGAGCTGGTAGAACTGACTGACGTTGTACACAATATGGCCACAACTTTATCATTGATCAAAATAAAACTCAGCATGAAGGATATATATTTCATGGAAAGCTTAGCCTTTAGTTTTTGCAGAGTTGGTTTGATATTTGATAAAGTTTATAGCAGATTAATTACTCACATGATGGACAGAAATACAGAATGACACTGCTTAAAAAAAACACTTCAAATCGGACCAGAAAGTGAATGTGCCCTAAATGTTCTCCACCTGTAAAACCCAGAGAGTTAGGTTGATTTTTTGAGGTCAAGTTTCTTAAATTTCCTTTCTAAAAGCAGATTTTCATAACTAGCTCTGAGCCAAAAGAAGACAAGTGTAAAACCAGGTGCATTTCTTCAGAAAACTTGATAATTAAGTCGCCTGAAGTGGAAGCAGCTCACTGGAGGTTTTGTCACCTGGGGCTGAATGTGTGAACATTTTCTAATAATTGCCTATAGAAGCCCACTTACTGAGATCTGACCTATTAAGGTGATGCATTACATGTCCTCATTAGTCAGAATAACCTCCTAACTCAGACTTCAGACACGAATGATGTTGAAGAAGATACTGATCAATTTTTGCTATAAAGTTTTTATCTTCAATTAAAAGTGTAAACGTTTTGTGTTATAAGTTACACATAAAACWTTTTAAAACTAGATCATATCTTTTGAAGTCAGGTTCAGAGAAGTGTTATGAACATGCAGTGTCTTACCTGTTGTAGATAATTGTTGAACTGCCTCAGTTTGAAGAAACAGAATCCTAATCTTGATCATATCAATGAGCTAATGGCTAGTCTGAACAGGGCTGGGACCAAAATAGATTTGTTTTCTTAAAACAGCTCCAATCTGAACGATTTCCTCTAAGTGCTATTTTTAAAGAGCTTATACCCTGACATCAGTGTCTCTTTATAGTTTTTTCCCACAAACAAAAATGTTACGATGCTAGAAGTGTCCAAAGTTGCGAAGGACATACTACTATCACATCAAAAAGTGCTTCACAGAGGGAAAAAAAATTAGCTAAAAGCCTGTCTGAATTAAAATGCATTTAGATATTTCTTAAAAGAGTCGGTCTATACCGTATAGGGATGGTGGGAGAGTGTCCCAAAGCCTTGGGGTCACCGCCTGAAATGCTACAGCTAGCTGCTTCTGCTGCTATTTCAACATCATAAACACAGAATCATGAAAATAATGTTTGCACTGTAAGATTTCACAAAACTCTGTTCACTTGAACAGTTTTTGAGCTTGAACTTTTTTAAAGATGGCAGACTAGCTGTTAGCTCATCAGTCTGGTCATGCAAACAAACAAACAAACAAACAAATAAATAAATAAATAAATAAATAAATAAATAAATAAATAAATAAATAAAAATTCACCAAGCTGAGGTCATTCAGATAGCTGCAGCTGTTAAAATATTAATTGTTAATTCTTACACAAAACCACACTTTAAAATATCAACATCTTTTTAATGTGACATTAAAATACTGAAGATTACATCACAATTCAAAGCAGCTATAATTTATGAGGATTCAGGACAAGCTATATAAAAACAGCTAATAATATAAACACCAACACTTTTTATCACTTCAGTTTCATTTCTTTGTTTAGTGCCAACTCACAATAGTTGTTTCAATGAGTTTTACAGTCAAATTTAACAGGTTTGTTTCAACTCATTACACACTGTCTGTTTCACTCCAACAGATTCTGTTGTATTTTTATCCTTTTCCTTTTTTGGCTGCTTCATCTTGATACAAGTTTTCTAAAATGTTTTGACTTTTCTTTGGTTTTTGACACCTAACTGGGGCTATTTTTGGAGACTAATCACATGACAACAGCTTTCTCCTAAACTGGCCTGACTCAGCAGGACAGCAGTGAGCGTCACATAAATCTGTTTAATGAGTCAAAGCAGACAACAAACAGCTTGAAGCCTAGTTCATGGTTGATGCGTCGCACCGGGCGCGAGGGGACGCACCAAAAGTGATGCAATCACGCTGTCCCCGCCCCCGCGCATTGGACCCGCACAGTATCCTGGCATGTGGTCGTGCACCTCTGAAATTTTGAAACTCCGCAAAGTCTGCTCACGCCGCGCACCATTCAAACAGCATGTTTGTTTGTCATGCTTTTGCTCTCCTATTTACAACATTTCACAAGTTATAAAGTGTACATCCACGTGTCCTTTTGGAGAAACCTACAATGTAAGCGCCAAGTATAAACACCTCCGCCGCTGGCGAGGGTGCACGCGCGCACTCCGCGACTWCCCAAAGCRCGACTATAACCGAGCCTTGAGGTGTAACCACCAAACACTTGACCCAACCTCTCAATTTATAGGCTAACATGCCAGCATCAGAAAACAACAAGATGTTACCACGATTTGTCATCTTTTTAACCTAAATTGTAATTTTGTCTGAGTATAACTGATTAACCTTTGTCTCCTGAACCCATAGATGGATTTTCATCAAATTTTCTGGAAGTGATTATAGGCTACACGTTTTCAATGACTACCTTTTAGAACCAATACTGTACAATTAAAAATGGTCACAGCCAAAAAAAAAAATCAATTTGAACATAGAATTTTGAAATATTACATGAAATTGTGACCAGAACAGTTTGGCATTTAATTCACCACCTGACTCCTCTGTGTCTGAAGAGCATCTTTCTGTCAGGTGATGAATTAAATGCCACTTTTTTAAAAACCCGGGCTAGAAAGCTTATTTGTTTTAATATGTCGTCATGGGGGACTGAGTTGACACATCAGAGGTGGTCCCTTGGCTCTGGGCCCCTGGGTTCTCCGGCAGGGACTTCACAAAATCCCAAAACCCCCAACTTTGACGAGGTTGAATTTTCCGAACCATGAGTCCAATTCCCACTCAAACTGGACTGTCCTTATTCTCTGAGGGCCCCCTTTAAGATATCCAAGGCCCGGGACCACACTCCTAGCAGAAAAGCAACTTTTTTAGGGGCCCCCTATGACTGCTAGCCTGGAATTATGCAWCATAGTCAAAATTCACAAAGATAMACTTCATAAATCACACGGGACCAACCCTAATGAGAGGGGACTACAGCTGCCTCAATGCAACCTTTAGAAGAGTGCTAGAGCTGTACAACATACTAGAATTTGAACCATTTTTGTGCAGTACTTTGATGAGCAAAAAATGCTCCCTTAAGCAATATCTGAGCAGCTGAAGCGACTTCGCTATCCGCAACAACCACGATTCCAGTATGTATACTCTGTTTCTGTGACAACGGGACAGGGGAGGAGACTGCGGAGCGGTTGCCAGGCTTCTCTGTCCGTTACAYATTTTTAAAAATCCACCTCTGATTTCAATGAAAAATGCAGGGAAATTCTGTCGTGTATAAAGCTATGACTGACAGAAATTTGAGCCAAATCACACGGCTGGTTTAAGAGTTGGATTTTGGATTTCGGAGATTAAGAATATTCCCCTCTCTCGTCGTCAAATAAACAAAAATTTCTAGCCRTTAAAAATCAACAAAAGTTTCAGGAAATGTTTAACACTACAGAGCGTAGTAGATTAAAGACGGAAACATGTCTGAGCAGCTGTCTGTCTGTTAGCAACAGCAACGTCTGGGGTGAGCACCGGCTACAGCCTGCATCTTCATTCTGCAGATCGAGTATGGGACTGATAACTAATAAYGACCATTTAATGGGTTGATAACRTTAAGCGGGTGTAATTTCTCTGAAGAAGATTGAATGTTGATCAGTTTCGATGATCACTGAAGGCCTCTTCATGTAAACAGCAGCATATGGTTTAGAAAGTCAATTTTGGAAAACCTAATATTCTGAAGTTCCTGAAATTGTCAGCTGCAGGTGAATTCACAGTTTCCTATCTAGAGGCCCCTCAGTCTGAACAGATCTGAGGAAAGACGCTCTGCGGTCCTGTTCCCTCTGGGGCAGGAAACTAAAGAGTGTGAGACAAGAGAGCGTATATAAGCATGTATAATTGAACAGCTTTAGACACATCAGCTTTTCCCAGAGGCGGCAGCACAAAGATTAAAAAGATGAATGGCACTGAAGAAAATCTTGCTATTCCTGTATGACAGGCTGATGTAACAGGTTGTCAAAGTGACACAGCGAGTGAGAAAAAGATGAAGAAAGATACATGACTGGGCAATTTATTATTTTGTGACTTTTTAAAATTCAGATTCTGTAGAAAATTGAAGAATATTTATTTCAATCATACTACAGAAAATCAAATTAATTAACATTAAAAGCAATATTGGATGTTTAAAGTCTGCTTTCAGCTGTAATTCATTTGAATCAAAGAAAAAGTTCAATGTGACATTTAATTTGCTTTTTTGCTTTTGGACCTTCTGAACTTTCTTTATCTTTTATGGACTTGCACTCCGTGCACTGAGGTGATGTTAGTTCATTARACCCTTTTTAAATTAGGGTTTTAGCCTCAGAATGATAGGAACCATGTGATAAAACTGCTGAATGACTGAGCTGACCCTGACGTGTAGGTGTGTATGCATGTTGATTGCTCGATCATGTGAACAACCAACCATTACAAATGAAATAAATCATTGTAAACACAAATGAAAAGCCATGATTAATTAATTTATAAATTTCAACCTTTGAAAACCCAACACAGACTGGACAAGGAATGCATGTCGCCTGTCATCTTTAATGTCAGAGTTTTGGACTAAAACCATGATGGGAAGGAATGAAGCTATACATAGCTGTTCAGGTTGTAAACACAATTATGTTTATTTTTATGAAAAACAGTAAGATCTGTTAATTCTCATTGTTTGGAGTATATGTTGAAGATGACTATCAGCCACTACATCAAATTTTAGCATACTAACTATAAAACTGGCTGAATTAGCTTTTATTGGGTATTTTAGGGTCAGTAGCCATCTTAAACGGGGATGACTCAAAATTAACTATAGTTGTTAATATTCATCCAACAATTACAGTTTCATAAAAATCTGACTAATGGTTCACAAGTTATTTTGCTAATGCAAACAAATGCAAACAAGTCTGGCTAAAGAAATAATAAATATACCTTCTGAGCAGAATAGAGTAGGTGATGACTGTGAACCTAAAAATCTAAATTCAATCTTTCTGAAACTGAAGGAGAGATTATTGAAATGGAAAAAATAATAACTTTCAACAGACTGCGATAATACTGATGTGATTTTAGTAAAAAAAAAATGTAATAAAAGGAATTGTGTCTCCTTAACATATTTATGTAATCTATCTTTCAGAACAGGTATATTCCCCGAGAAAATGAAAATAGCTAAAGTTATTCCTTTACATAAAACAGGTGATATTAATGATTTAACTAATTATTGCCCAGTTTCCTTACTTTCATAATTCTCTAAGATACTAGAAAAACAGTTTGTTGCAAGGCTTGAAAACTTCCATTAAAAAAAAAAACAATATTTTAATGGAAAGGTCAGTATGGCTTTAGATCTGCCAGATCAACATCACTGGCAATGATAACGTTAGTGGAACCTATAACAGAGTACATACAAAATAAAACAGAAACTTTGCAGTGGGAATTTTTATTGACCTTAAAAAGTCATTTGAYACGATTGATCATAATTACTAATRTATAAAATGGAAAGATATGGAGTGAGAGGAGCAGCAAATAACKGGCTAAAAATTATCTTGATAATAGAAAGTAATATGTACAAATTGGTCAGTATAAGTCTTCAGGCTTGAATTTTACATGCGGTGTTCCACAAGRCTCAGTTCTGGGTCCCATATTTTTTATAATGTATATTAATGATATGTTTAGAGTGACAAAGGCATTACATTTTGTTGTATTTGCAGATGATACAAATACTTTTTGTTCTGGGGATGATTTAAAACAGCTTTTGGAAGTTCTTAGAAATGAAACTGATAAAATTAAATGTTGGTTTGNAAAGTCTGCTCACGCCGCGCACCATTCAAACAGCATGTTTGTTTGTCATGCTTTTGCTCTCCTATTTACAACATTTCACAAGTTATAAAGTGTACATCCACGTGTCCTTTTGGAGAAACCTACAATGTAAGCGCCAAGTATAAACACCTCCGCCGCTGGCGAGGGTGCACGCGCGCACTCCGCGACTWCCCAAAGCRCGACTATAACCGAGCCTTGAGGTGTAACCACCAAACACTTGACCCAACCTCTCAATTTATAGGCTAACATGCCAGCATCAGAAAACAACAAGATGTTACCACGATTTGTCATCTTTTTAACCTAAATTGTAATTTTGTCTGAGTATAACTGATTAACCTTTGTCTCCTGAACCCATAGATGGATTTTCATCAAATTTTCTGGAAGTGATTATAGGCTACACGTTTTCAATGACTACCTTTTAGAACCAATACTGTACAATTAAAAATGGTCACAGCCAAAAAAAAAAATCAATTTGAACATAGAATTTTGAAATATTACATGAAATTGTGACCAGAACAGTTTGGCATTTAATTCACCACCTGACTCCTCTGTGTCTGAAGAGCATCTTTCTGTCAGGTGATGAATTAAATGCCACTTTTTTAAAAACCCGGGCTAGAAAGCTTATTTGTTTTAATATGTCGTCATGGGGGACTGAGTTGACACATCAGAGGTGGTCCCTTGGCTCTGGGCCCCTGGGTTCTCCGGCAGGGACTTCACAAAATCCCAAAACCCCCAACTTTGACGAGGTTGAATTTTCCGAACCATGAGTCCAATTCCCACTCAAACTGGACTGTCCTTATTCTCTGAGGGCCCCCTTTAAGATATCCAAGGCCCGGGACCACACTCCTAGCAGAAAAGCAACTTTTTTAGGGGCCCCCTATGACTGCTAGCCTGGAATTATGCAWCATAGTCAAAATTCACAAAGATAMACTTCATAAATCACACGGGACCAACCCTAATGAGAGGGGACTACAGCTGCCTCAATGCAACCTTTAGAAGAGTGCTAGAGCTGTACAACATACTAGAATTTGAACCATTTTTGTGCAGTACTTTGATGAGCAAAAAATGCTCCCTTAAGCAATATCTGAGCAGCTGAAGCGACTTCGCTATCCGCAACAACCACGATTCCAGTATGTATACTCTGTTTCTGTGACAACGGGACAGGGGAGGAGACTGCGGAGCGGTTGCCAGGCTTCTCTGTCCGTTACATATTTTTAAAAATCCACCTCTGATTTCAATGAAAAATGCAGGGAAATTCTGTCGTGTATAAAGCTATGACTGACAGAAAT